GGAAAATCCAGTTGTCTCCTTCTAATATCAGCGGATTAACGCTTGAGGTTTGAATTCTGAACGTATCTTAGATAAAACACGTGTATTTATACCTTGCTTTGTTTTAATTGACCTTGCACAGTTTTGACAGATGGTCTCTTTCCAATGTTTTGAGTGAGTTTGTGAAAAGAAAACTGCCCTTTTCATGATAGATCAGCTGTGTTTGGTTCAATCATTTTCACTCTTGCCTCGTGGAACTGCATGATCCCAATATAAATATACCATTTCGCTAGCGCATTTGAAAGCTCACTACGGTTAGAATAGTAACAATGTCATATCACTAGATTGTAGTAACGACATCCGTTGGTTAATCTATGCAGTTCTGTTCAGTTTTGTTAACGAGACTGTTGTAATCACAACAGTTGAGTGCAGAAAGCTCACCCACCACTCGCTCACACTCGGTTTATTTTAGATTGTTTCAGCATCACTATGAATCATTAGTCGCTTATCGTTCTTGTTCTGTGTATTTTTTCGGAGCTTGTTGAGCAGCCATTGACAAAGGGCCCGGATCGCTAGCTCAGTTGGTTAAACCAGACTGCACGGTGAGCGGGTGACGAACTCCTTGTGTGTTGTGGTCCGGGTTCACCCCCCCCCCCCCGGGAGTAGGCATTTCTTCCAGATTTACGGTCATGGAGTCAAGGCTGAAGGGTTGCGATATCCATAGTACTGAACCAAAGGGTTTACAACTTAATGGTTTTTAGATACTTAATTTAAAAAAAAAAAAAAACTATATTGACAAGAGAATGGACAAAGCTTAGTTGACTTAGTGCAACAAAGCCTAGCATAAATGAAGAAAGATACATCTAATTTGAGACAGAATCATCATAGTGGAGGTGAAGGCAGCCACTGTAACTTTTCTACTGGCCTGAGAGCCAGCTGTGCACACATGTCATGATTTTAACTCACAGCTCATTTGTGTCGTTCCCTCTTGTCCACTCCGTAATTGCAATGCGGCCAGGGGACTGGACTCCGGCGTACGCCATAATAAGTGGCCGTAGTTTTAAGGAGAACCTAATTTTTTTAATGTGCACAACTATTCACACAACTATCTGGTCTTACTACCCAGAGACCAGGGGAAATTACTAGAAGTCCACATGACAAAATCCCAGTCTTCGCCTGGGTTTGAACCCGGGACTCCACTCAGTCCCCCTTTTACTTATAGTACTAATAAGTCTATTGGGGTCTGTGACTTAGGCATTGCGAACACACTTCCTAATGCTGAGGTGCAGGGTTCTATCCCAGCTGCAGGCGATTTGGTAGCAGAAGGTCACATTCGTTTCGACAGTAGTACTGAGAGCTGACCTTACAGTAAGCAGTGGCAAACTGCTGAACGTAAAATTTGCCTAGAAAAACCATAACAGCTAAAAAAATGCTTCGGCGGCATCCTATAAAGGATACACAACTAACTTAGTCATTATGTCTCCAGTTATGTTCTTTCTGTTCTTTTCCACACCAGTCCTCTTTTACCACTTTGGTTTTTGCAAGATATGTAATGTTCCATTTTCTGTTCTTCAGGCTGCCTTGACCACTTGTCATCAGACATAGATGAGTTGTGCTGCATTAGTTAACTGTGTGTGTCTCTCTCTCTCTTGTAATCTTTCCATTTTTGTCATAATTCTTCATTACCTCTTTGAGTCCCAGGGGGTTTTGCATCACAGGCCCGGGGGGGGGGGGGGGGGGGGGGGGGTGATATGATTTTGACTTTTAACAAATGCAGCACTTTAAAACAAACCACACAACTGCAGCTGATGTCCAACATACACATATCATACATGAAAATAAACATAAATGGATAAGGATTAATATTAGCATACTGCTACAACAAACAATTATACTGTTAGTTAGTATTTTGTAGAGAAAACATTGACTTAGTTTGAGAGGTTAGTAAATTATGAACAAGTTTTTTCCACTAACCTAGAAGCTGATCCCAAAATTCTTGATATAGTATATCCAAAATGCATCACAAAGGAATGTACACCACTTATAAGTATGCACAGCCAATATTAAAGCAAAATGTGCAATAGTTGTTGTTCCATAGCAATTTTAATAACACTACCATAACAAGTCAAAATATATTATCCAGTGGCACAAACAGTAACTTTTCTAAAAACAATTGAATTCCTCACATAGAAAAAACTGTAAAGGCACTGTAAACATGTCAACCTGTTCATAGATATATATCTATGGTTTTAGATGATATGGATAGTAGTACTAGAAGCGCTGACATTTGGACTAGCTGGTGTCGCGTTATGAGGTGCTTCTCTTGTGTTGCCATGGCAGAATTAGTCAGTTTTGTCCTCTTAGCAGGAGGTAAATTACGCACACATCCACATCAAAACTTGACTCGTCAACGGTTTGGGGAAATTCCACGTCGCTATCATTATCCAGCTCCACATTACTTTGATCGATCCACTGTTTTATCAAATTTTATGATTCTAAAGCAGTAAATTGCTTTGATGGGCGTGAAGACGATGACTGATCAGACATATTGTTTTCAGACAATTGTTTGGTAACGTAGTAGACCACACAAATATCGATTTAAAGCGTTAAAAACTCACCAGACCCAAACGAATGCACTCCACGTGTGTTCATTACACACTTGAGAACCGGAAAGGAAGTTTAAATTGAGCGGTTCGCGTGTCATTACCGATAAGTGGTAAATTAAAAACCGTCACACGTCACGCGCTGTTTGGGCCGCCAGGTAGTAACAAATTAACACGTGATGCGTTCCTTGGGACTCACAAAGAGTTAAATTGGAAGACACCCACTGAATGGTTTTAGAGGAGACACATTAAAAAAGAGGAGAGTCATTGATGAAACTTGCTGAAGATGCTTTTAGGCTGGCAGCTTCAATTGAGCAGATACACAGGGAGGGATCAGATATGGGTTGACAGAAACATATACAACAGCAGTTTCCGTCAAGTCATTGCCACATTTGAAAGAGAATTTAGAGATTAGTTGGCGCTATCCCCAAACAGGGAAAATCCACAGGTCACAGGACAGTCTAATATTTCAGGGGTGGTAGATAGGCTGCATGCAGTCGTGGTACCTAGGCTGCACTCTCTCGTGGGACATGGGTGGGTTAGTGTTAGTGCCAGTTCTACATGTTTTGGTGTTGTTAAAAGCATCAGAAAGCCGGGAAACCCAGTCTTACCACCCTCTAAAATGTTGGACCGTCCTTTGACGTCATCTGGGGTAGGATATTAATAAAGAACCGATCGATGTAACTGTATAGCAGAATTAGGGGTACAGCTGAGGTAAAATTGATGATATAGATGACACAGTAGTATACACCGAGGTTTTCAGCTAGACTGAAGGGAAAAATCATCGCAGAGCAAAATTGAGCTTTTTAATCTATAACAAGCATTAGAATGGAGGTGGAGGCAGTCACTAGAGCTTTGAAGGTTTAAGGTTTAAACAACAGATCAACATCATGGCACAAGGGTAGTAACCTATAAGTGCTCCGTTCTACTCCTAACTCAAGTCTGAGTCTAAAGAATCTTAGCACATTGCATGAACTTTGTAGTGCCGGCGAGGATCCAGAAATACTTTGGGTAGATTTTAAACTCCAAATTTTGCCCTGGCAGCGCCGATATGCTGCTCTTTTTGATTTTGAACTGCCAAGAGTTTAGTTGAAATAACGTGTGAGAGTGTGTGAATGAGCAATTAGGTGTGGATCCAGAAAGTATCAGAGGATGAATGTGATGTATGTATAATCCATAAGCTACTGGATTTAAGCATCTACATCTTGAAACATTTGCTGAGAGAGACGGAGCATCTGTGGATGTACTCAGTGTGCTATGATGCTGATTCTTAAATCAGTAATCATCATTCAAGAAATGCTGCATTCATTTTTTTGTCTCTCAAGTGTTCTGTCTGTTGTGTTTTAAATAAGTCACAGACAAACATTGCTGTATTCGTTACCTGTATCACCCGTTGTTTTTTTTTCATTTGCATTCTATTCCACATCTTTTGTCATACAAGATAAGTCTTGCCACATCCATTTTCATAGAGGCTAGCTCAGACAACAAATACACGAAGTCAGGTGTGTCAGCCACTGGCATATGCCGCAGCTATGCTGAAAACAAGCACAACACCTTTGCATCCTCAGATAAAGGAAAAATAAATGTGTGTTATCTATTATAGATCAGAGACCTTACATACAAAAAAATTTAAGGTAGGTGTATCTGCCACATGCGGAAAGGTGCCCCAGACGGCAGAACATATATTCCAAGACTGCACTGAATTGTATACATTAGGGCAAACTTTGTAGCTAGAAAAAACAACAGTGGAACGTGAACTCTATGGACCAATGAGCGCACTAAAAAAAACGACAGTGAAATTTATATGAGAGACAAAAATTGCTGATATAGACAACTTATTTCAGGCGAACAAAAGAGGAGGTGATTTTCAAGATAATTAAACTATTGTTTTTTGTTTGTTTGTTTCAGTAAGAATCATCACCAGACTTGATTAGCAGCAAGTAAAGACCTGTGGATTACAGCGAAATCTTTGTAGACCTACACATGACTGTCCTTTGACTTTTGTGTCAGTGTCTGTCAGAGAATATACATTTGCAAAAACAGCTACATTAAATTGTAATTGACGAATTACCAGACAATTCTTGGAACGTTACAGGATTGACACCTTACATTTCATCTCAATTATCCAAGACCAGACCTCAGTTTTTGCCACATTGTTATCCATACCGTGGTAGTACTACCATGCGTCAGCTGTGCACAGACACAATGTCCGACAATGTAGTACCCATGGATGGGCATCATATATGGCGTTTGCAATTATAGAGTATTTACCAATCCCTTCATTACGAAGAATTTAGCAGTCCACGGTCTTTCAGACAGAAATTTGAGTGACAAATGATGTGTGAACTCTGTTATTGTGTTGTGAATTAACTTTTTGCATGAACTAAACTTTACGGAGATTCGTATTATTGGTGGAAAATGTCGGCTGCCTTGCAGAATTCACGGAATCGGAATCGCAGCAGACAGCCCCAGCCAGTTTCGGGAAGGTGAGTTCACAAACCTTTATGGATTTAGGCAAAAGCTAAGCTACAGCTTGGGGCCTCACATTATGTTAGGGCCTAAAAAAATTCCAACTTTTTGCTCACAAATGCAGTTTTATTTAAATAGAGCATTTAACCCACTGACTACCAAGCTCTTTAACTGTTGCACTTTCCCAGATACAGCAAATTCTCTTTTGTGTGTACTAAAAATGCCATAGCTTCACAATTAATCAAAATACTCTTATCATGCTTTGTATTTTTGCTCCAAATTGAATGTAGAACAAATTTCATTCAAAAAAAAATGTTTACTTTGTGTTACATCATTATCATCATGTAGCTATAGATTGGTGTAGAAAAAAAAAAAGCGACTGAAAAATCTTTTATCTGGCAATAGTATAGACTAACAAAATATGTCATAACCTCAGCAACCATTCTACATAAACTTATATTTTGTATTTTTGCACCAAATTAAATGGAGAACAAAATTCAAGAAACAGAAATGGGTTTATTTTGTTTGACAACACCATCGCTGTAGATATAGTGCAAAAAAAAGGCAACCGGACAATCATTTATCTGTCAACAGCATAGACTAAATTTCATAGCATATGAAACATGACATGTTATTATTTTTTTCAGTAAAGGAAATTGTGTGCAATTCTATATAAACGTCAGCAATTTTTTTTTTTCTTATATGGCACTTACATTTGTCCAAATTTGCAGCCAAATCGTGTCAGTGGTGTAGTACAGTTTGTAGCATTGTTCAGTACAAAGTGGCAACTGACATCCCCTATACCTGTTATTTGTCATGGTCCCTTTGTGGCTTCTTTTTATTCAGGAAAGTATTGCAAATCACTGCCAGTCATCTACCGTTTTTTTTGGGGGGGGGGGGGGGGGGGTGTTGTGTGTGGGGCAAATCTTCCCGGGACTCGTCAGATGATGACTGCATCAAAAGCGGCAATGAAATCTTTGTCGTGTTCAGGCTCAGACACAATATCTACAAATCTACAGGTTCTGAATGATTTCACTAGAGCTATCAGTATCGGAAACTGCCGCACTAGTGTTTGCTACCGACTGTGTAACTGCCAGTCGAGTCTTAGTTAGATGACCTGGTAGGGACATGCCGTTGTTCAGTCCCCCGTAAGAGCTGGGATTTTTTCAGGCGGACTTGAACTTCTAGTAATTCCCCCTGGTCTCTGGGTAGTAAGATCAGACTAAGCCCTATCATAGAAAAAACATTATTACAGTACAACTGACAGTGGTCCACAGATTGCTTGATGGGCCTCCACGGGACATATCTGGCCCACCGGCCGCCAGTTGAATGGCTTTTCTTAATGATGTTGTCATCTCCCCATAATTTGTCTCCACTAAACTGACTTTCTGATCATTTCAGGGGAGGTTACCCAAGTTACAAGAGAGAGTTGTCAGACCCTGAGGTTCGTTACTGTTTGTGTTCGACATGTGCTTTGCTGGTTTGTTTCTTGTTCATTCCGCCAGGCAAGTTGTCTCCTGATTCAAGCATGCAGGTGGTCTGTTGCATCGTACATGCAGCTTGTGTCTCCTGGGCCCCACACTTGCATCACTGTAACCGAGCTTATGTCAGGGCCGTTCAGATAAGTGTACCCAGGGGCCCAAACGGGTCAGAGGCGGCTACGGGCATGATAGATGATGTATTGGCACCTTCCAGTCTTTTCACAGTGTTATATTGTGCTCTGAGGAGGTATGGGACTCACAGCCCATGTTCAAAGTCAACACTGTAGCTTACCAGGCATGATCCAAGTCAACACTGTAGCTTACCATGTAGCTTACCAGGCATGATCCAAGTCAACACTGTAGCTTACCAGGCATGATCCAAGTCAACATTGTAGCTTACCAGGCATGATCCAAGTTGACACTGTAGCTTACCAGGCATGATCCAAGTCAACACTAGCTTACCAGGCATGCTCCAAGTCAACACCGTAGCTTACCAGGCATGCTCCAAGTCAACACTGTAGCTTACCAGGCATGCTCCAAGACACTTTTGCAGCAAATATCTTAATCTGTAGATACTTACTGTTAAGTTTTTGTAACAATCCAGGTAGGTTGAAACCTGTGAACACCGAGAGGATAGGCAGGCCTGCTAGCTACTACATCATTGTTTTCCTAGGTCCCTAATCAAATAGATTTGTCATATTCTGTCACATTTTTTGTGAACTTTTTTTCTAATGTATAAATGTATGAAGAGAAGTAATCATGGTTCTTTATTAATATCCTACCCCAGATGACATCACAAGTCAGTCCAACAATTTAGAGGGTGGTAACACCAGGTTTCCCAGCTTTCTGGTGCTTTTAACAACCCCAAAACATATAGAACTGGCTCTAACCCCAACCCACCTGCATCCCACAAGAGAGTGGAGCCTAGGTCCCATGAGAGAGTGGAGCCTAGGTCCCATGAGAGAGTGGAGCCTAGGTCCCATGAGAGAGTGGAGCCTAGGTCCCATGACTGCATGCAGCCTACCTACCACCACTCCTTGAAATATTAGACTGTCCCATGACCTGTGGATTTCCCTTGTTTGGGGTAGGATATTAATAAAGCACCAGAATCACTATCTACAAACAGCAAAGAAATAACCGCTTTCCTTCCCTCTGACTAAAAAAAACAAGGGTTCATCACAAGTTTAATCTGGTACCACAATGACAAACAAATGTTTTTTTACCCCAAATATCCCAAAACTGGGGGTAGGGGCAGAGGAGTGGTGTAATCAGGCCCACCAAGTCTACACACTATGCAGCTGCAACCAAATATGTTATACATCTTTTCTCACTGTGTCCAGACCACACTCCAAAATTCATGAAACTTTACACGTTTTGCTTCATCTTCTTCTTCGCGATTACCAGCTGTAAACTCTGGCGGAAAGTTCTGGTGGTTCATCCACTTCTGGACTGCAATCGTGTTTCAGAACCTGAGTGTTGCGTGTTCATCCGTTTGACAGATCTGACTCATTTTTATGCAGACTGCTGGTTCCCTGCCTCTCAGGCAGATACAGTCCAACTTTGAAGAAAGCTTCTAATTAGTCGACTCTTACGACATGCTTTCGGGTAGGCAGTGGGTCCGTTCTTGTTTTCCCCACAATAGGGCCCTGGAACCCACACAGAGATTGCTTCATCTAACATTGTGACTTCTGTCAGTATTCTTTCATTCATGTTTTTCAGAAAGTCTGCCTTGTCCAGTATGAGTTTTTGAAGTGTAACCATCCGCTCTTTCATTACCTCCCACTCTAGGACGGTGTATCCCTGTGAGCCTTTATAATGTTGATGGTATGGTCCACACATGCCGATTTTCAAACTTCCATACAGTATAAACCCCCCACATACTAAGTTAATGAGAAAGACAAATAAAACCTTTAGTGCAAGACAGCCTAGCATACGACATCACAACATCTAGCATGATAATGGAAGTGAAGGCGGTAACTGCAGCTCTCCAGTGGCTCGAGAACAAGATGCATACACATGTCGTAATTGTAACTGAGAAAGACAGGGATGTTTCGAGCAGAGGGGCAAGCTTCACGGAGAAGGTCACAGGTAGTGAGCATACTTTTGGATCTTTTCTTTAGGCTATGCTGGTGTAGTGGGTAATGAACAGGCAGATAGATAGGCTGGATCTGCACACTGGGAGGTGAATTGATACATGACAAGGCAGATGTGGGAACAAGCAAGGGAATGAGTAGAGAAACAAGGTTATTATGGCCTGGAGAGAATGAGGCACCTGGGCGTAGCCAGAGGGTCTGGCCAGCTCACTAGACTCAGAGGAAAGGCAAACAGATAACCAGATTGTGACCGGTACAATCAGTATTGGAACTCTGCGCTGAAGACGAGGGCGAAGTACGCATAGGAATGCCCTGAGTGGTGTGATGTCAATTCTTGACTCAACTCAACTCGACAAATGTATTTGAGCCTTTGCTTGCTGTAGTATATGTAGTTCAGTTAACATCGTGCATGTTCTGTGCTTGCAGCCCTCCAACTCCTCTCCTCTCCGGGGGCTCTATGGGGATCCTCGCACAGCTATGGTGATGTGCAGTTTCATGGTATGTGCTTCTTTTTTCCCCATGTTATCTAACATCTTCACTACCATTTAAAGAAAAAAAATTGTGTGTGTATAAAACTCAACCTAATTTTGTGTTCTTTTTTTTTCTTTCTGTTTTTTTAATTACCTAATTTTTTTCTTCTGTCTTTCGGTTGAATTATGCTTCAGACTAATTGTATTTGTTGAAATGTCTATAGGGCACACGGACATCGGTGAAGACAAGAAATGGCAGTACATTTAAGGGCCACACTGTAGGATTTTCAGACCAGGTAACTTCAGCTGTTCTGCGTGAATAACCTCAGCATGCTGCCTGTTTGGCTTCCTATATGTGCCTCGGTTGTTCCTGAATATTAGTTCTTCTTTAAAGTCTGGTTTAGAACGTAAAATATTTAACTAATTTGCCCCAAAAATTGTTTGAGGAAAAAGAACCAATATATTTCTTTAAAAAAAAAATTCCTTAACACTTTCACCCTGAAAATGCTAAAATAAATAAAAATAGTTAATGAATATGAACATTTCCCAGAAAAATCCTTTAAAAAAAAGCAGCAGCTAGTTACAGAAGTCACTAATAAATTATGAGAACAGAATTTATTAATCTACATTTGATATGTTTTGTCTTTATTATTCAGTAAATGCAAAGATTTATTAACAACGAAGAAGACAAAAATTCTTTGGTCTTGTAATGACAAAAAGAGCCCTAGAAAATATTGTGACGACGGGAAGGATCACTGGTAGAAGATGCAAAGGCAGAGGCAGACCAAGAGAAGTGATAGTGGATGAAGGAATTGATGCAGAACACCAAAGACCGAGATCTGTGGAGATGCATGAATGCCTAGACCACAAGGCACTTGGTGAATCACTAAACATGAAAAGAGGGAAGCATTAAATAGAATACATTGCCTGGGCCTACAATAAAATATGTATTGGGGGATTAGTACTGTGACTCTTCGACCTCTATCACTTAGGCTAAAGGGAATATTCTACATAAGAAGGGGATTTTGCATGCATGTTATTGTTAACTGTTGAACTGTTTTCTTGTTGTACTTACAGGGAGATATTGCAATGAGTGATGCCAAGCTGGAAGAGGATGACAACTCCCCGAACCAATGCCTGCCAGGTCTCATCATACCCAGGGAGAACTTTGTTGTCTGTAAAACCAACGGTGTCGACCTCAAGGGCCTGTGCAGCTGTAAGTTGCAGTAAAAAAAAATGTTGAGAGCAGACAGTGGGTAATGTGTCTGCGGGCTTTGGGCGGCACTTATGACTCAGCAAAAGGCAGTGTCACATGTGATCCTCCCTCAACCTAGGGGTAATTAATCCAGTAAACTTTGACTAAAAAGCGTCAACGAAATTGGGAAGCACTAAAACATGCAGAAATCAACATTTTTGCCAGGGCCTTTCTCAACATGAACTGCACATGCATGTTGTTTTGCTTGGTAAAGGGGCACATCACTCCAGAAAGGCACAGGTGCCAAGTTGGTGGCTCGGCTATTGGTCTGATGAGGTTGCCCCCCCTGAGTCGCCAACTGCCATTGTCCTTGGGCTGGGGAGATTTTAGCATTTGGCAACAGTCTATTGAACTGAAGATGTACCAGCTTAGCCTGTTGCCCTCACTGTGTTCAGTTGAGCCCTGGTCTGTACGATAAAAATGACCTTATAGACGAACTTGAACCGATTATACAAATCAGAAGACATGCAGAACAGCACAATGCGTGACGGTCCAAAAAGATCAAGGGTGCTTTCTTATTAGCTGACCACAAACATGGGAAATCCACAGGTCACGAGATAGTCAAATATTTCGAGGGGTGGTAGATTAAGTTTATAATTTTGGTTAGGGCTAGGTAAATGTGTGAACCTTGGGAGAAACGCGCTTAAGCACAGAAAACAAGAAAAACCTGCTTATACCACCTTCTGAAATATGGGACTGTCCTGTGAGGTCATTTGTGGTCAGCTAAAAAAGAAAGCGCTGGATCAAGTGCTTAAAGTTCCTACCTCAGCCTAGTTGACTGAATAAAAATATGAGACTGGGTCATCCTCGTTCAGATTACCCTGTTACCATGCTCATAAGTAAGTAAAGGTTCCTTTCCCACATCTTTAGGCATATAGGGCTAGACCTATATTTTTATAGACCAATCGGCACAAGATGGGTGATGTGGTCAGCTAAAAAGGAAGCAGCGGATCAAGTGCTTAAAGCGCCTCCCTCAGCCTAGTTGACTGAATAGTAAGTACCATGAGACTGGGTCATCCTCGTTCAGATTACCCTGTCCAAAAGTTACCATATTCCCATGCTCATAAGTAAGTAAGTAAAGGTCCCTTTCCCGCGCCTAAAGGCATATAGGGCTAGGCCTATATTTTTATAGAATGAACGGCACAAGATGGGTGATGTGGTCAGCATCACGCCGTCCCATGCTCATGGTTTTTCTGTACATGTATGTCAGTTGGATGAACTGGTTCTCCACTGTCTGACATCATTAAAACATGAACGAACAAACTTTATTTTCAAAGGGTAACAAATTGGGCACGCAGGCCCGTCTTACATTCGGCCCTTCCAGTCAACCATCTTTCGCACAGCAGTTGTATTTTACTAATAAAGCATGTTATGATGATATGCATATTATGAATATTATAAAAGAACACAAAAGCATGAGTTGTAAAGTGCATGCAAAAACCCGCGCATGCATACACACACTTATATACATACATACAAACATACACATGCTCACCCACTCACTCACACACACATACATACATACATGCATGCATACATTACATACATACAGTTCATGAAGTGCAGCTAGAGTTATCCCACCCTTGAAAGGAATCCCCTCCAACAATCAAAGACTAAGATAAACATTGTAATTGTTACTGATTTTTTAATATATTTTTTTAAAATTTTTCTTGTAACATCCAATAGTTACACTGTCATTATGCTTGTTCTTCTCCAGCAGCTGCAGAATTCACAGATTCAGCAATTGCTAACCGAACCAATGGCAGCAGTGACGCTTCCTTGAGGGAGCTACAACCATGGCAGGATGATGATGCTCCAGATGAACAACCTTCTCTGTCCCTGGATGATCCTGTAAGTATATTTCTTCTTCTGTGTTTTTCTTTTTAGGGACTTTCTTTACACTTTGATTTGCATCATCATCTTTTGTTTCAATGTTATAGGTTTTAGGTTTAGACGATTCATCAACATCATGGGACAAGGGTAGTAACTCATAAGTGCTCCTTTCTATGTCTGACTCGAGTCTGAAAAATCTCGCGCAGGGCACAAACTCTGTAGCACCGGCAAAGATCCTGAAATTCAGTGGGTTGATTTTTATCCCCAAATTTTGCCAGGGCAGAGCTGTTAGGCTACTCTTTTCGATTTCCAGCTGCCGGGAGATTTTTTAAACTTCGCAATAATACACATGGGCATCTGTTCTTACTACCCAGAGACCAGGGAAAATAACTACAAGTCCATGTAAAAAAATCCCAGCCTTCACTGGGACTTAAACCCTTGACCTTCAGCACTCGAGGTGGACGCCATGCCTTGAGACCACGCAGCACCCTTCTCTCAGTTGGCTTGAAACATAGAATAAGAGTTCTGGTGTGCGTGTGTGCCTGCTGTAAACTCCAGCTGAAAGTCCTGGTTGTTCGCCCACCTTTGATGATTGTCCTAAAGACAATGGTGGATGTATGTATCCACTACAGCAACCTCCATTGTAAAGACGGCATAGTTGTAGTTTCTATTACAGCATGCGCATGTGCATTAGTAAAAGCAATGAAAACTGGTATTGTACGATTGATTCTCTTAACCTTTTCACCCCAAGGAGCCACAAAATGGACTCTTCCGGTTGGGTTTAATTCCCAGCAAATGTCATTTTTCTGATCTGTTTACGAGATCCCTAGTTAATTATTTTGGCTGTTTTTGCACAAATGCTCAGGAGGCCAGGGTATAAATACATTAACTTAAAATAGCAATGTGGGGGGGTAACTATGAGGTTTTTAAAGCCAGGTTTCCCAGTGCGGGTTCCAGGGTCCCATTATGGGGTAAATAAGAATAGATCCACTGCCACCCCAACCAGCATATCGTAAGAGCCAACTAATTGGGGGTTTACTTTGAAGTTTGAGTGCATCTTGCTGGGAGTCAAGGAACCAACAGTCTGCATGCAGATAAGTCAGATCTATAAAACGGGTGTGCACGCACCTCTCAGGTTCTGGAACAAGTCTGAAGTCCAGGAGGTGGATGAACAACCAGAACTTTCCGCTGGAGTTTACAGCCAGTCAACAGGAAGAAGGAGAAGAAGAAAGCCAAGTTTATAAATATCCACATGAACCTAGGTGGAAAAGGTCACTGGGTCAAGACAGGAGTCACTCATTGTGTATGGTGTAATAGGCTGCAGGAAATGTATTCCATTTAATGCTTCACCATCTTCATGTTTATTGATTATTTCCTTGATATTTCTTTATATATTCTGGAAACAAAATATTTTTTAAATGTATATAAAAAAAAATTTCATAAATTTGTTGGTGACCTAAGTAAAATATTTTTTTTAAAGGCTTTCACTGAAATTCCTAATGGAGTCATGACCCATTTTGTTTTTAATGTTTCCATGGCGAGAGGGTTAATAACATAACATAACTGCCATCTTTCTCTTCTGCTTGATGAATAAGTTTATGATAACTTAGTCCTGTCTATTTCTTGATGTTGACATTCTATTTCCTTCTTTGCCCTCCTTTTCTTCGACTGCCACCCTGTGTTCATTGAAGCACAGTGTTTGCAGTCGAATTGTGTTTCACCATGTGCCCAAATCAAGCTAGTTTGTGACATTTCATTACTGCCAAGAAAGGCTCCCGATGTCTTGCAGATTTGTCTGGGAGGGTTAGTATCTGTGATTGATTCCTTGATTAAATGTTCTTGTTTACAGGTTATCGGCTGGGACTCTCATTCTATGTTTCAAGCCAACCGAGAGAAGTTTAACGTAAAGTCCACGTACAGTGAGGACTTGCTTGAGTATACGTAAGTCTGTTTATTGTTGCACAGAAAACCTAACTAATATATTTTTCATCGTCATTATTATGTCATAACTGTGCATATCGTTGGGACACCAGCTAATGTTAACTGTCTGATCAGCTGCTTCCACCTTTGTCATATTAGATGGAATGCATGCTCGCATGCTGTTATATGCAACTGAAAGGAATGTAGATTGCATATCTGGTGAAATGTCTAGGGGTAAATGGTTATGCTTTACCCATATATACAAAAGTTCCCAAGTCGACTGTCCGATGACGAACTGGGTTCCCTACAGGAGAGTGTTTAGATAACACAGTTCCACCAACACTGCTAACCGTGTCAACTACATTACAAGTCATCACTAAAACTGTATCAGTCTCTTAATTGTGGACGAACACATTAAGACGCAAGAGATGAAGTTGGCTGACTGATGACTCACTGTCACGTCTTCTACTGCCTTCCCAAAATTCACATTGGCAGTCTCTCAAGTCATGGACAAAACACCCCAGCAAACCATGTCCTAGGTGCCTGCTATGGGCAACTCACACCCGACCTTGCTGATACACCTATGTGATGTGTAGTGACAATTCCCATCGCGGTTTGTTAAAAACTACCTTACCACCACATGTGATTCAAGATAGATGCACTTCTTGGTGAAGACTCCAGACTTCCCATCTGCTTTCCCAGTCACTTACTGAAATATCGCTAACATCCTGTCATTTAGCCTCTGATACCCCCCCCCCCCCCCCCATCAAAACAACATGTTTGTTAACACAAGGTTCCCCGGTAACTTCCGTGCTCTGACAGAAACATATCAACCACGTGTCCTATAGCTGCAACACTCCCAACCTCACAACACCTGGCCGACACAAGTCAATTCTAGACATTACTGACAGAATTTCCCAAGGTCCAACTCACGATACACCACAATCATCCAGATAATTCCTATAAGCTCCAGCAGACTACAACACCTTGTTAAAACACACTGGACGGGAAAACTCATGCACAACGTGTCAGCACACTAAGCCTGACCGAGAGGCACTAAGTTTGTCCACGGGTTAATCTTCAGTGGCCGGTCCACTTGGGTCTCACAAAAGCCATGGAGGTGCGTTTACCCGTTAATTAATCTCAAGAAACATTTGTCTTACAACTTCAAGTATCGTAGACTTTTTGCACTCGTCCCTGTCATCATCATCATTATCTATAGCCTTTACGACTAGCTTAGGCGATCACGCCTCTGACCTCGGGTACAATTGAGCAGCACAGTGAGTTCAGCACACGACACATGCCAAGGCTGTTCAGTCATTCAAGTTCTGTATCCAGGTCTTTCTTGGTCTGCCTTTTCTCCTCTTCCTCTCCACTTCGCCCTGTAATATTGTTTTTAGGAGGCCGTTAGATTTTGCTACATGTCCGTACTGTTGCATTTTCTGCCTTTTTACTCTAGATAAAAGATGTTCATAGTTGCCAATATTCTAGATAATTATAAACGGTGAACTTCGTCATTTATGATGTGGTCTCTGTGTGGTGTACCAACATTTTTCAAAACAATGCATTTCCAGTGTTTGTATCGAGTTTGCTTTCGATTTCAGCTGTTGCAGTCCCTGTTTCACAGCCATAAGTAAATATATGCTAGTGCTCTGAGCAGTCATAGTTTAGTTTGATATGAAATGTTTTTGCATCTCCAAAACATTTGTTGTTTGGCAGGGGCTAATGTCTGGGCAATCCTAGATCCCTTTTCCACGCCTTTAGGCGTATAGGGCATATAGGGCTAGACCTATATTTGTATAGACCAATCGGCACAAGATGGGTGATGTGGTCAGCATCACGCCGACCGCGCCGCTTAAAATGGTTACTAAATTTTTGAAATGACTGACTTGTTCTAATTTGTGGCCTTTAAAGTACATTGGCTCACTACATTCAGGGGAAAGGCAAGACGGACGTTTAACCAGATTGCTACCGGCACCATTAGTATTAGAACTCTGTGCTGGCTGCTGAAGATGAGGACAGAGCACGCATGGAAATGCCCCGAGTGCTGTGATGTCAGTTCTTAACTCAACTCTTGTGTAGTTATACCAGCTGGATTTTTATTCATGACTTTAGCCTTTTGCCGCGTTTATTTCCACGCCATACTTGGTCGATGTTTCATCAAGCAAGTGTTTGTGTTCTACTGGCTCTTGTTCTTCCCCCGCCAACCCATCGATGTCAAATCTTAAGTTTGTTATAGTTTGTTCTCATGTACTAACTTTTCCATTATGTTTTTCTATGGCGCTGGCATCTGTGGCTTTGGTGTTGCGAACGTGCTTCGTAATGTTGGGGTGCCGGGTTTGATCCCCGCTGCGGACGGTTTGTCTTGCGATGGTTTCGACCTTGGTACTGAGAGCCGACCGCCCAGAAAGCAGTGGCAAACTACTGGACGTAAATTTACCTAGAAAAACCACAGCAGCCAGAAAGTGCTGGGGCTGGTTCAGCAGCGTCCTGTAAAGGATACGCAACAAATTAGTTTTTTTGTTACTGTGATGCCAGCATAATTCTTTCTAAGATGTTAAGACAGTGTTAAGAAGAGGCGACATCCCTGTTGGACTCCTGCTGTTAAGAGGATTTACTTCATTGTACCAAATTTGATCTCACATGGCTCGATCTCTCACAGAGCATGAACTCCGTAGCTCGGGTGACGATCCCTGGGGATCTCTCTTAAAATTGCACTCTTGAACTAAAGGTCGAAAGCCGCAAAATGAACCCAGGATCTTTAGAGCAACAAGCGAACGGCTTGACCACCTCTCCACAGACACACCCATAAGTATGTTCAATGACAGTCCTTACTGGACTGAGTAGTAGTAATAATTTAAATACCATAATCTTGTTCCGCCTCTCGGGGTCTTGAAGTTAGTTGCGTATCCTTTACAGGACGTTGCAGAACCAACACCAACATTTGTATGCTTTTTCGGTTTTTCCAGGCAGATTATACATTCATTAGTTTGCCATTGCTTACTGAAAGGTTAGCTCTCGTTACAGCTGTCAAAACCAACACCAGAGAAATTGTCAGCAGCTGGGATAGAACCTGGCACCCCAACATTACCCAGCTCATTCGCAACGCCTAAGCCACAGATGCCATCTCCACAACTAAGGTTGGCCACAATATACTGCAGTTATCTTTGGGAAATGTTGAATTGAGAATTAGTACCACAGCATTGGGATACTACCATAAGCGCTCTACCCCATCTTCAGCAGCAAGCGAAGAGTTCCAATTCCAATGGCACCAATAACTGTCCTGATTGTATATCCGTCTCGTCTTTCCCCTTGAGCGTTGACCAGATCCCCTGGTAACTCCTTGCAGCGCCATTCTGCTCAGACCGTAATGATCTATTTATCTGTGCCTTCTCGCTGTTCACTGTACTCTTTGTTAGTCTGTCTGTATAGTCTTTAAAGTCAGTGGCCTGGGATTTCTGAAATGAAAAGTAGCCAGCGAGCCTAACATGTTTGGCCCACCCCTGGGCCAAACAACTCAGGTCTGGAGAGGGCTTGTCTCAACTCAACCTCCTGTTTATCCTTTCCTTCAACAGAACAAAACTGCCCGACCCTGGATCTGAAGGCTATGAAGAACTGCAGAAGTTTGCACAGGAACAAGCGGATGAAATCGAGCGCAGTGACACTTACCAGAACAGAATAGCCAAGGAGCTGGCTGATGGGGACGAGGAGCTGAGGTATTCGGCAGTCCATCGGGGAGCTGATGCTGCCTTGTCCCACAGACCACAGGAGGTCAACGCCAACAGTGGGAAACATGTGTATGTATTCCAATAGATCTTTTATATAGTTGAATGTTGAATTAAGAATCAACATCACATCACTTGGGACACTCCCATAAGCGCTGCGTCTCCATCTTCAACAGCAAGCGAAGAGTTCTAATTCTGATGGCTTCAGTAAATGTCTTAATTGTATATCCGTCTCACCCTTTCCCTGAGTGTTGAGCATCTGCCAGATTCCCTGGTAACTCCTTGCAGGGCCATATCTCTTCAGACCTTAATGATCTATCTATGCCTCCGCACTGCTCACTCTCTCCCAAAGGACGTGCACAACATCTAGCTTGTCATACATCAGTTTACATGGTGCAGAGCCGTCCTGTCTATCTGTCTGATCATTTCCCAACACACTGGCATGACCTGGAGAAAATATCCAAAGGCGATTTTATATAAATATATATCTCTGTGCGTGCGTTTAAGCCCACTGAACCCTAGAAGTCAAGTTAGGGGTCACTATCCACAGCCTTGCTGATTCATCATCACCACCCATAACTGGGACAACCCATGACACAACCCTCATTGAATTAGTCTTTCAGTGTATGGATTACCTGTTTCTTTTTTTTTTTTAAACAAAATTTGAAAATACCCTGGTAAGCCACGTGACTACGCTGAGCTTCCGGCGGCCAAAACACACAATGCCTCGAAAGAAACTCTTCGCATTTCATTTGGATTTATTCTGTTCTGTGCTTTATCTTATGTTGATGTAACTCTGTAGTAACGCACCTGAGATACAGCGAAATATGCCTGGCAATGATTTGTGCAATCTATTGTTTATGTCCGCATTATTTAAATTCATTACGGGAAAACATTGTTTTAAAGATCTTAACAAGAGCTCATAAAGAATGAAATGGCGGCCAGTAACTAGTAGAGCAAAATGGCGCCAAGGAAGTGATTGGCATTTTAAAGGTGTTTTATATTCACATAAAAACTTGGTTACAACTTCTGAGGGATGTTGGGAATTACTACCCCTGTGTAGGTTCTGGGGCCCTATTGTGATGAAAACAAGAACAGACTCACTGCCACCCCAACAGGCATGTCGTAAGTGTCGACCAATTAGGGGTTTCCTTAAGAGTTGGAGTGCATCTGCCATAGAGGCAAGGAACCAACAGTCTGCATACACATGAGTCAGATCTGTAAAATGGATGTGCACACAGCAGTGACATTCTGGAAATAGTCTAAAGTCCAGAGGTGGATGAATGACTGGAACTTTCCGCCGGAGTTTACAGCCGCTGAACGCAAAGAAAGAGGAGGAGATGGAATAATAGCAAGACAGGCAAAGAGATACTGGATGGCCTGGCACATATGGACGAGGCGAGACAAAAGCTTTGACCTGATCAATGATTTTAGTGATCCTGTTGCGGCCAACCTCCTGTACAGGCAGGTCATCGTAGGTAAGGGTTTGATTTACTTTCACCCACTGGAAAGGGGGGGGGGGGGGTAGGCCCACTGACGCAAAGAAGAAGGAGATGGAATAATAGCAAGACAGGCAAAGAGATACTGGATGGCCTGGCACATATGGACGAGGCGAGACAAAAGCTTTGACCTGATCAATGATTTTAGTGATCTTGCGGGAGCTCAACGAATGACCGCCTACACCTATTGACAGGGCACATGATGATGATATTCATACGGAATGACAACCAGTGCCACTCATCAAGGGCTGGATCACCACTTGGCATTTTACAGTGAAAGTGGAAGATGTTGATAGTTCTTCATAGGATTATAACTAGCAAGCAGTATGTTGGTTTTGGTATCCCCAATCCCCCGTTCATATACACACCTCCCCCCCCCCCCCCCCCCCCATGAAAGAACAGTAGTTAACTTTGCAACACTCTTTATGTTTTCATCTTCTTCATATTAAGCGGCTAAAAGTTCTGGTTGTTCGTCCACCTCTGGGCTTAAGTCTTGTTCCGGAACCTGAGTGTTGCATGCATGTCCATTTTACAGATCTGACTTGTTTGTATACAGACTGTTGGTTCCTTGCCTCTCGGGCAGATGCACGCTGACTTCGAAAGAAGCGCTCCAATTAGTCGACTCTTACGACATGGGGGGGGTGGGAGTGGGTCGAGTCTTGTTTCCCCTACAAAGGGACCTCAGAACCTACATAGGGAATTTCTAAATTGATATAAATTATTATGATGTATATTTTCAGCTATACAATCCCAGCTTTAAGAGGAGACAGCGATCAGGCAATAAAAAATGGCACGCTAAAGGGACAGGGAAGGGGTGCACGTCACAGTTCATCTTACTTCTCCTCGTCCAGCCACCCCCAGCAGCCTCCACACTTGCATCACCAGAATCTACAACAGTCCGCCCGGCAAATGAATAACCATTATCAGGGCCCTCCGCCGTCGGGGGGCCTTTTGGGCCGAAGTCATGGGCCTGCATCTGTACAGTCGAGACACCAGGGGCCACAGAACCACTCTCCTGCCCCTCAGCCACATCATCAGCAGCATCATCATCCACAACAGTATCAGCAACAGCCTCCACCACCACCACCAACTCATCCGGGAATGCACCAGCATCATCCTCATCATCTTTCTCAGCTGCAACAGCAGCCACCGCTGCATCATCACCATCATCATCCGCGACCTCCCCCGCAACAGCTGGTGCTGACCAGCAGCCCACATTCGGGCAAATCGCATCCGCAGGCTGTGCCGACAAATTTGTCGCCACCTTCCCTGCCGCCGCAGCAGCAGCAGCCTCTGACCACAATACAGCATCCTCCGACCCCCACACAGTATCCTCCGACCCCCACACAGAATCCTCTGACCCCAGCACAACATCCACCTCCACAGAAGATGACCCCGCCACAGTTACAAGCTCCTTTTCAACAACCTCAGCTGCCTAATGTTGTTAAAGTTGGCACCATTAACGGTCCGGGAGGTCCTGTTGCGGCCAACCTCCTGTACAGGCAGGTCAGCGTAGGTAAGGGTTTGATTTACTTTCACCCACCGGAGGAGGGGGGTAGGCCCACTGACATAAGAAAAATCAGCTAACTAGGGGTATTTCCTTCGAAGTCGGAGTGCATTTGCCTAAAAGGCAAAGAAACCAACAGTCTGCATACCTATAAGCCGAATCTGTAAACAGATGTGCACCAAGACTAAATTCCAGAAGTGGACAGACAACCAGATCTTTACTCCAGAGTTTACAGCTGGTGAATGTGAAGAAGAAGAAAAAGAAGATTCGCTGTCACAGCTTCCTTCATAAACCCACCTTATACTTTGATCAAACAATTAACGTAGTCCTAGGGAAAGAAAATAAACAAAAAGACCTATAATCATCAGCACTCGTAGAAAGAAGTAGAGAAACAGGACAACCAGGACATTCCGCTGGAGCTTACAGCGGCTAAAAAAAAAAAGAAGAAGAAGAAATTGGTGTGGTAATTTGCTTGAAAAAAAAAAACACATGCCAGATCACCCTGTTTGCCACTTATTTTGTTGATCACAGAACTGGGAACATTCTTTCTTTCTTTCTTGTTTTCTCAAAAGCATATTCTCCACCACTCTGCTTCTCTGCTCCTTCTAAAGGTGTTACAGTTTTTCATTTGTGGTCCAAACTGCTAGGCATCAGCGCTGTTAACTTCCAGGCTCCAGTTTTTGTCATATAACTCGCTTAGTTCCAGGCTTTGCCATCAAGGATGCTGAACGAATCTTCTTCGCTTCCGCTTCAGGTTGTTTTTGTTTGTGGTCCAAACTGCTAGGCATCAGCACTGTTAACTTCCAGGCTCCAGTTTTTGCCCAGAGACTTTGCCTGCCACAGTTATCACCTGGCTGAGCTCATTGCCATGTAACTCACATAACTCCAGGCTTTGCCATCAAAGATGCTGTAAGAATCTTCTGCACTTCTGCTTCAGGTGTTGAGGGAGATGTAAAGGTTCTGCTTCTTGCGCTTCTGACTGCCTCACCCATAGACACATTAAGCTGTTGTAGAGTTTCTCTGATGTTATCTTTCCATCTTGTTCTCGCCTCATGCTCTACGTCCTCCTCTTTTGGTGCATGCCTTCACCGATATGGTGTGCATTTACTCTTAAGTGGGTCATTTCCCAGGTTATTTTTTTTTTTCTCCCTGGTTTATTGCAAGTCTGACACTGGTAGCATACAGTGGGAATGAGTTATTGCAAGTCTGGCACTGGTAGCATACAGTGCGAATGAGTTAATGCTAGTCTGGCACTGGTAGCATACAGTGGGAATGAGTTATTGCAAGTCTGGCACTGGTAGCATACAGTGGGAATGAGTTATTGCAAGTCTGGCACTGGTAGCATACAGTGCGAATGAGTGCTTCTCTGTGTTGACTGGGTTGTCTTATGTTGTGGGGGGGGGGTGGTTATGTTAAGTTATATTATCACAGTTGATGTAACTGCATGTTGGGCATTCCCTTTCGTGCTTAGTCCTCAGATGCAGCAACCACTCCAAGATACTTCTACTAGTTGTTCCCATGAGAGGTTGGTTATAAGGTCTCCCACCTTGGCTTCGAAGGTGATATAGACATACTTCACTGTGTTTGGCACCGAAGTAAAGCAACATTACAATGGCAGGACACAAACCAGAAGGGCTTTTGAGGGTGAAGGGGTTAAGGTTCTCTTGCACCCTTTTTGGTTTTCCCACATGGCTGTTTAAAAGCTAGATGCTCCTAATCTGAAGGTCCTGGGTTCACATCTCAAATGGAACTAAACTCAACTCAGCCTCACATGGGTAGCAGGTAAAAGTGGCAGACGAGTGCCAGTTGGTGAATATAATATGGATATAGCACTACCTGCCCAGTACCTCTAAATATGTGGAAGAGGGTCTTTACTTTACATAGCTGTTTATTCACAGAAAGTAATGGAAGAGGGTCTTTACTTTACATAGCTGTTTATTCACAGAAAGCAATGGAAGAGGGTCTTTACTTTACATAGCTGTTTATTCACAGAAAGCAATGGAAGAGGGTCTTTACTTTACATAGCTGTTTATTCACAGAAAGTAATGGAAGAGGGTCTTTACTTTACATAGCTGTTTATTCACAGAAAGCAATGGAAGAGGGTCTTTACTTTACATAGCTGTTTATTCACAGAAAGTAATGGAAGAGGGTTTTTACTTTACATAGCTGTTTATTCACAGAAAGCAATGGAAGAGGGTCTTTACTTTACATAGCTGTTTATTCACAGAAAGCAATGGAAGAGGGTCTTTACTTTACATAGCTGTTTATTCACAGAAAGTAATGGAAGAGGGTCTTTACTTTACATAGCTGTTTATTCACAGAAAGCAATGGAAGAGGGTCTTTACTTTACGTAGCTGTTTATTTACAGAAAGCAATGGAAGAGGGTCTTTACTTTACATAGCTGTTTATTCACAGAAAGCAATGGAAGAGGGTCTTTACTTTACATAGCTGTTTATTCACAGAAAGCAATGGAAGAGGGTCTTTACTTTACATAGCTTTTTATTCACAGAAAGCAAGAATGGAGTGGAAGTCATCAGCCAGAAGGTAGTTCAGATGGAAGTCAACCAGCAGGTGTTCCACCAGAAGCCACCGCCGCCACCACTACAGCCTGTCGTCGCGGCCACCACCAGTGCAGGTCCGAAGGTGTCCGAAGCACACCTGTCAGCCTCCTCATCCTCCAGCTCCCTCGCTGACGTCCAGCAGATGGGACAGTCCGGCCCAGGGGTGACGTCACCACCGACGGTGCTGGTACCTGACAGGAGAGTTGGTCAAGGTATGGATGCCAGTCAACACATGATGCTCTTTTGTAAAATGTTTTTTGGTATTATAAGCTCAACTGTTTGCAGGATCTTGATGTTGTTTTATAAAGAAACCATATACGTTGCAAGAAACCTTTACCAGCAAATAACAAAAAACGTATTACAAAACCCCCAATAAAAGGAAATGTCAAAGTAACTACAGTATTCAAAAAAAATTATTACGCAAGTGATGCAAAGTTTTAATTGACAGTATGATATGACATACATACCTTTGTTTTTGGCACCTTTCCACGTTTTCATACAGTAGTGTTATATTGGACACTGACTTCAGAAGGCAGAAGGAAAATAGTCATGACACCGACGTGATGTCTGCAGTGTCTGTCAGACGGACAGAATCTTGACAACCGGCACCATTAGAGTCCTGCCACAATAACATGACGTTTATAGCTATACTGGAATCTATCTGCACAGAACCAATGCTGAATGAACTTTATCGGTAGACAACAAATCAGATAATTTGGATGTAACCAGATCGGTAGCAGAGGCAGAGGTTGACCATGCAGAACATTGGCCGCAGAAATATCAGAGACACTGAAAATTACTTCATACAGAGCTCACAGAAGAGTCTGTTCCAGAGATCTCTTCCTGCCCTGACACCGCAAGGTTTTCCAGGAGTAGCGAACAGAAGAGTCTGTTCCAGAGATCTCTTCCTGCCCTGACACCGCAAGGTTTTCCAGGAGTAGCGAACAGAAGAGTCTGTTCCAGAGATCTCTTCCTGCCCTGACACCGCAAGGTTTTCCAGGAGTAGCGAACAGAAGAGTCTATTCCAGAGATCTCTTCCTGCCCTGACACCGCAAGGTTTTCCAGGAGTAGCGAACAGAAGAGTCTGTTCCAGAGATCTCTTCCTGCCCTGACACCGCAAGGTTTTCCAGGAGTAGCGAACAGAAGAGTCTGTTCCAGAGATCTCTTCCTGCCCTGACACCGCAAGGTTTTCCAGGAGTAGCGAACAGAAGAGTCTGTTCCAGAGATCTCTTCCTGCCCTGACACCGCAAGGTTTTCCAGGAGTAGCGAACAGAATAGTCTGTTCCAGAGATCTCTTCCTGCCCTGACACCGCAAGGTTTTCCAGGAGTAGCGAACAGAAGAGTCTGTTCCAGAGATCTCTTCCTGCCCTGACACCGCAAGGTTTTCCAGGAGTAGCGAACAGAAGAGTCTGTTCCAGAGATCTCTTCCTGCCCTGACACCGCAAGGTTTTCCAGGAGTAGCGAACAGAAGAGTCTGTTCCAGAGATCTCTTCCTGCCCTGACACCGCAAGGTTTTCCAGGAGTAGCGAACAGAAGAGTCTGTTCCAGAGATCTCTTCCTGCCCTGACACCGCAAGGTTTTCCAGGAGTAGCTCACAGAAGAGTCTGTTCCAGAGATCTCTTCCTATCCTGACACCGCAAGGTTTTCCAAGAGTAGCTCACAGAAGAGTCTGTTCCAGAGATCTCTTCCTGCCCTGACACCGCAAGGTTTTCCAGGAGTAGCGAACAGAAGAGTCTGTTCCAGAGATCTCTTCCTGCCCTGACACCGCAAGGTTTTCCAGGAGTAGCGAACAGAAGAAAAGACAAGTGTTATAAATAGGCATGGGAATCATAGCCAATGAGGCTAGAGTTGAAGTTCCTCCTCCTGCACCTCCTCCATGGCACAAACCCTTGGCAGTATTGTAGAGGCTGAGTTGTCCATGCAGCAGGATCCCTCTCTCAGGCTGTTTTTTTTTTTACTCTAAAGGAAACATAACGCCAGTAGTTATGGAAGAAAACATGCTCGTGGATCAGAAGAGCAGTGCTTCTTCTGTCTGCCACTTATTACCTGAACCACTTTGAAATGTATAATGGACAGAACTGACATTAAGATTAGGGGGCAGCGTTACCTTATAGTGCTAATGTGCCTTCCTCTGGCTTGAGAATCAGCTGTACACACATGCCATCATTGTAACTGACTCACAGAGCATGTTGAGAAAGGTGGAGACAGGTATGCTCTGTGCACAGTGGTAAGCTTCACTTCAGAGATCCTTGGCAGTTAGCATCCTTTGGATATTTTCTCCAGGTTGTGCCGGTGTGTTGGGAAATGAGCAGGCAGATAGACTGGTTGGTTCTGCACCACTTGGTGGTGAATTGATGTATGACAAGCTGGATGTTGTGAGGGCCCTTTGGGAGCGAGTGAACAGAGCCGAGGAACAGAAAGATCATTACGGTCAGAGGAGAATGGCACTGCGAGGAGTTTCAAGGGGATCTGGTCGACAATTAGGGGAAAGGCGAGACAGATATACAATCAGACAGTTACTGGTGTCACTGGCATTGTAACTCATCGCTTGGTGGTGAAGATGGGGACGAAGCACTTATGGGGGTGTTCCGAGTGCTGTGGTGTCGCGTCTTCATTCAACATTTTATAGTGTTAATATTCTCTGCTTCCCTCATCATCATAAACTACTTCTGCTATTAAGCATCTAGGGAAGAAATAATTTATGATCTAGCGCGCTGGCTGCTACTGGCAGGTTTCTTTAATGTTATTGATCCATGTTTATCACGGCCGTTCTCTTGCTCTTGTTGCTGATCTCCTGAGATGTAGTGCCTGTGATGGTAGTTGACCTTGCTGCCTTTTTCACGAGATGGCCAAACCACATGGTCTGCTATTTGTCGGTGAATCTAGTACAAGGTGTCATACCCACAGTTTGTCTGATAGTATCATTTTTCACTCGATCCTGGATGAGAACCCATAACACTTGGGCAATAGCATTCATCATCATCATTCATATAGCACTTCCTTTGCAGAACGTTGCTTTCATCACAGCCTGCTTGATAGACGCTAGGTCTTTCACCAGATCTCCCACTTTGTCCACTTTCATGCTGTACTCATCTTTGCCCAGGTGGAACCCTGTCCCTCTTTCTCTTCTCCCCAACCTTTGCTTTTTTCCTTTAAATCTTCTGCCACACTGGATATGGCCAGAGTATTTCTGTTTCCGTGACAAGCCAATATTACCAGCCAATCGTCCTTAATGTTCAGATCTTTTAGGATGTCAGCAGTGCTTGTTAGGTCACATGCAGCAACTCCTAATTAGTTGCACTGTACAGCATGCCTGTTAGGGATCTAGTGGGTCTACTGTTGCCCCCAACATGAGGCTCCGGAATCCACACAGGGACTCGTCTGTATACAGTAAACAGAATGCCTGTTAGGGATCTAGTGGGTCTACTGTTGCCCCCAACATGAGGCTCCGGAATCCACACAGGGACTCGTCTGTATACAGTAAACAGAATGCTTGTTATGGATCTAGTGGGTCCACTGTTGCCCCCAACATAAGGCTCCAGAACCCGCACAGAGACTCGTCTGTATACAGTAAACAGCATGCTTGCTAGGGATCTAGTGGGTCTACTGCTGCCCCCAACATGAGGCTCCGGAACTCACACAGAGACTCAGTTGTATAAAGTAAATATAACTTGACTTAAAATTCTAGATGAAATGATTTGTCTGCGAAATTGACCCTAATTTGTTTTCTCTGCAGACGAACGGAACAAAATAGGACAGTCACTGCATGATTTCAAGCGCAATTTTGTGTTGGTGAGTGGTTTTGTTGCTAATGTTCGCTTGTTTGCTGCTTGCATGATTGCTAGAGTGATTGGAGTTGTTGAAATGATTCAGATTGTTGAAGTGCTTCATATTGCTAGAATAATTGGGATTCTTAGAATGATTCACATTGCTGCAATGATTCATATTGCTAGAATGATGCGAGTGCTATAATGATTCAAATTTCTAGAATGATTCCCATTGCTAGAATGATTGCAATTGCTAGAATGACTGCAGTTGCTAGAATGGTTCCCATTGATATAATGAATAATTGCAGTTGCTAGAATGATTCCCATTGATATAATGAATAATTGCAGTTGCTAGAATGATTCCCATTCCTAGAATGATTGCAGTTGCTAGAATGATTCTAATTGCTAGAATGATCGCAGTTGCTAGAATGGTTTCCAATGCTAGAATGGTTTCCAATGCTAGAATGATTCCCATTACTAGAATGATTGCAGTTGCTAGAATGATTTCCATTTGCTATATTGATTCCCATTGCTAGAATGATTGCAGTTGCTAGAATGATTTCCATGGGTACAATGATTTCCTATTGATAGAATTATTGCAATTGCTTGAATGATTCCCATTGCTAGAAGGGTTCAGATTACTTGAACGATTTGATTGCTAGAATGATTCAGGCAGCTATAAACATGTCATGTTATTGTGGCAGGAGTCTAATGGCGCCGGTTGTCAAGATTCTGTCCGTCTGACAGACACTGCAGACAGCACGCCGGTGTCATCAACACCAGCCTCTTCCAGTGTGGCAACAACTCCAGTCAGCGCTGCTCCCGAACTGGTGAACCAGCTGGCAGAGCAAGTAGCAGACGTGACGCTCAGTCATGGAGAAGAGTTGCAGCTAACACCGTAAGTTCATACAGTAGAACAATGTTATCACTGTGTGGGTTCCTAGAGCCTGGAAACTAGGGGGATAGGGATTATGAACTGAACCACTGGCCTAAACCCCCCCCCCCCCCTCTTTTTTTTCCCCTCGCAAACCATCATCATCAAGTTCCTTTCCAGCGGGCGAGGTGTTCAAGCATCTCCACAGATCTTGGTCTTTGGTGTTCTGGATCAATTCCACTGATGATATTCCTCCATGCCATTGTCTTAAGCCATCCACCATCATTTCTCTTGGTCTACCTTTTCTGCCAGTGATCTGGTGTTAGCACACCTGTTTTTGCAGGGAAGTGCCTTCATCACATGGAGAGAAGTTCAATTCCTGGTATGCTAATTATAGCTTTCGATGTTCGATTATTAGCCTCTCTACTTTTTTCAGTGAGTCCCGAACAGTTCCTATATGTTAGTTTATTGTACCCCAAACCACCACCCCCTTCTCCCCCCTTTTTTTCCCAAGCAAGCACAATGTAGGAGGAGACTAATTAGGGTATTGCTGAAATTGGATGTGTTTGGAGAAAGGTGCAGATATCACAGCCTAGCTATAAACCACGACATAACTTCCTTTTCTAGCTCATTTTCTCCATGTTGTTGTTGTTGTTATCGATCCAGCGGCGCATGAGCTTTCACCCTTTGGCCAAATGCCGTGTAGTGGAATTTGCATGTTTTCACAAGCTGTTCTTTTCCTCCATACAAGGTGTTCCATTTGTCTGGTCTCGGAGGGAGTAGCGCTCTTCTTGTCTCACTGAGTTCTGGGCACTCAAAGAGATGGTGTTCAACAGTTTTCGTAGGGGTAGTTACATAGCTGGCACTCTGGGGAGTGTTTTGGCTGTATTCTGTTCAGGTGTCCATTGAGTGGAGTATGTTGCGTTCTAAGTCTGAAGATGGTGGCCTGGTCCCTTCTTGTTAGATGGTTAATGCTGTCATTAGGATCAGGGCCAGACATTTTCTCCATGAGTTTTTTGGTTTACTTTTATTTTTGTGCCTCTGTTAGTTCTACTGCAAAGAAATTCTAGTTTAATCACTTTTACATTTTCTCAACACAGCTATTTGTTTTCAAATGCATTTAACTTGTGTTCCATGTCTTTAATGTTAATAGCCTGTTTGTTACAGAATATTTTGTTTTCCTCAGGAAATCCACATTGAACCCTAATGCAAAAGAGTTTAAGCCAGTAAGTATTATTTCTTTTAAGTATTGAATAGTTTAAGTGTTTATTGCAAGTATTGTGTATTGCATAGTTTAAGTATTGTATATTGCATTGTTTAGGTATTGTTTTTTGCATAGTTTAAGTATTGTATATTGCATTGTTTAGGTATTGTTTATTGCATAGTTTAAGTATTGTTTATTGTATAGTTTAGGTATTGTTTGTTGCAAAGTTTAAGTATTGTTTATTGCAAAGTTTAGGTATTGTTTATTGTATAGTTTAGATATTGTTTGTTGCATAGTTTAAGCAGTGTTTATTGAGTAGTTTAAGTATTGTGTATTGTGAACGAGTAAAAAAGGACCCTTTTCTACGCCTTTTAGGCATATAGGGCTAGACCTATATTTTTATAGACCTATCGGCACAAGATGGGTGATGTGGTCAACATCACGCTGGTCGCCTCTACTTCCCGGGACTGGACCCGGTACCCACTCAAGGCTGGGTCGACCTAAGAGCCAAGGTCATTTTTGAAAAAAAGTCCAGCTCCGCCAAGGAACGAACCCACGACCTTCTGATCCGTGGCGAGCGTATTGCGTTGTTTAGGTATTGTTTATTGCATAGTTTAAGTATTGTTTACTACCCGCTCCGCCACGGGGACTCCCTATTGCGTTGTTTAGGTATTGTTTATTGCATAGTTTAAGTATTGTTTACTAACGGCCCAGTACTAGAATTGCAGCTCACTGTTGGCGCAAAAATTCACAAAAGCCGGTATTGCACCTGCTAAAGTACACACCATTCTGAACGTTGTCTGCCATCATCATTGTTAGCACAACAGAGGGAAATATATTACACAGAAAATCCACAACTCACAGCATTGCACCAACACCTCAGCTCGGTTGCTGGGCAATGGAACCTGTGGAACCAGAGTATCAAAGCTATCGAACATTTTGACCTGAAATCAGCATATTTTATTTTACGTGTGAAGAGCAATATAAATAATGAGTATATGAAAAGCACTATTAAAATATAATGAGAAGTGCCAATCTGTTTATATCCAGTATGAGGAGTACCTGTATATGGCTGTATGTTAAATGATTAGACTTTTTTAAAATCACTAATTTGAGCCTCGTCGTCTTGTCTTGTCTTGTCCACAATTGCCTCACAGCGTAGTGGGTAGTCGCAGTTTTCTATCCTGGGCCAGGTGTGTTGCACGTGTTGTTGTTAGTCCGTGTTGCCTCAGGATCTCTGATATATTGTCTATCCATCGTACTCTCGGTCTGCCTCTTGCTCTAGGGCAGTAGTGCTGTTCTGCTAATTTGAGCACTGTAACTAAATTAGTCTTGCAGGTCAACCCAGCCTTGAGTGGGTACCGGGTGCAGTCCTGGAAAGTAAAGGCAGCCGGTGTGATGCTGACCACATCACCCATCTTGTGTCGATTGGTCTATAAAATATGGGTCTATCCCTTTATGCCTTATACGCCTAAAGGCGTGGGAAAAGGGTCCTCAACTGTTTTTATTAAATTAGTGTAGTATGCCATGTTTCAGTCACCCTGTAACCGTTAGTTTAGAATATCACTGCTATATATCAGTGTTTTGTTTATTGATCTCTCGGCTATGATGGTGGTAACTATTGAAGAAAGATTATTTTCTGTTAAGCATTTGTTTCTTAACCCACTGACTACCAAGCCCATTAACCCTTGCATTTCCCCAGATACCACATATTTTAGTGTGTACTAAATATGCCACAGCTTCACAGCTATTTGATATAATCTCACAATATTTTGTATTTTTGCACCAAACTGAATGAAGAACAAATTTCAAGAAAAAAAAAGTTGTTTATTTTGTTTTGCATCATCATCATCATGTGGCTGTAGATTGGTGAAAAAAAGGCAACCGAAAATCTTTTATCTGACAACAATAAAGACTAATAAAAATGTCATATTTTCAAAAAAATTCAACAAACATGTATTAAATTTTGTATTTTTGCACAAAATTGAATCGAGAACACATGGGAAGACAATAAATGGGGTTTACTTTGTCTGCCATAATCATCATTATGATGTGGCTGTAGATTGTTGCAAAAAAGGCAACTGAAAAATCCTTTATATGACCATAATAGAGACCCCCAAAAAATGTCACAGCTTCACAACTGTTCAAGATCACTTATCCTATCTGATATTGTTTGCATCAAATTAAATAGATAAAATATAAAGACAAATGTAAATTCGCTGTTTTATATCATCATCATGTGGCTGTAGATATATGGTGCACACAAAAAAAAGGCAGAAAAATCTTTTATCTGACAGCAATATATAGACATGATGGTGGCAGCAAATGATGAGTGGATAAATGGATATATACTCCTGTAGTCTAAAGTTTTGAAAATAAATGCCTTAGAAGAATACTAAATTTCAAATGGTCAGATTTCCGAACAAATACACAAATAAGGCAAGAATCCAGGCAAGAGTATGTGTCTAATTTTATACGAAAACGCCGCTGGAACTATATCAGCCACGCCCTTAGAATGGATAAATAAAGACTTCCTTACCAAGCCCTCATGTGGACACCACAGGGGAAAAGATCACGTGGAAGACCAAGGGAAACCCTACGTAGAACTATCATCAGGGAAGGCTCGCTCATGGGCCACTCAAACATCCAAGACCTACAACGGATTGCAACGAACCGCCATGCATGGAGAGTCATGACCTCTGCCCTATGTGCCGCACTCGACACAAGAGGAAAGACTAACTAACTAACTAAGTCTGAAGTAGACGGCTTTTTCAAAACATGTGTGACGCAACAGTACAAGATACCCTGTCACTTTATTTGGGGTTGTGTGTTTCCAGTTCTTGGCAAAATAGTTATCTGGTTTCGCACCAATCTTTGCCTCAGCATAACGGTTTGTTTCTTTAGCAAACACAGCCAGAATTTCTTTACTGAAGAAAATATCCAGTGGTTTATTTGTTCTTTCTGGCAGAAATAAACCAAAAGTGCCAGTAAATTGGGGGGGGGGGGGGGGGGGGGGGGGGGGGGGGGGGGGTACTCCAGAAAAGCCTTTCAAATCACAATGCCAGTCATCAACCATTGGTGGGCGTGGCAAATCTTCCCTGGACTCGTCAGATGATGATGATTCTGAATCATAAGTGGCGCGGCAATGATATCTTTGTCATGTGCAGACTCAGGCACAAAATCTTTATAATCTGTGGGCTTTGACTGAATACTCTCACAAGAACTATTAGCATCATAAACTGCCGCACTGATGCTTGCAGCCGATAACACTCTTTGTCAGACTCGACTTTGAAGCGTCATGCTGTCGTTTCACAGTCGACAATGTTTTGAATGGCACTTTGTTAAATTTATTATAGTCATAGCCATCAAACTGTTCAGAGGTGTCTTTAAATTCAATTTTCAAAGCAATAACAAAAAAATCACATACATCATTAGAAAAATTAGGAGAAATATGACCACCACGATGGTTCCGATAATTTCACGCCATGATGAATTTTTCGTCAATGTCTCACCGTCATGGGAGCTAACTAAAAGAATTTGTCAACTATTTACTTTAAGCACTATGAAGTTATCTCCCTTAATTAACTATACAGAAGTGAATAAGCTAGAGGTTTCAACTAAATTGATCATAAAAATCGCGATTTTAACATGACAGCGAGCGTTCAAAGCTAAAATCGCAAAGGGTGCGACCTTGGTGACAGGAAGTAAACGTCACCTCGTCCTTGGTGACAGGAAGTAAACGTCACCTCGTCGCATAACATGCAACGCTGGTAGTCAGTGGGTTAATGGTGGCAGGTATTTGAATGTGGTTTAACAATTGATGATGCCATTTCCTGATACTCAACTGCCTCATCCTCATATTTTTCACAGTTTGACCAGTAGAATTGATTGTGAACAGGAATGTGGGAAACAGTATTCAAAATAAGACACACTATAGCAGCACACTTAACTCGCCAGATAGTGATTACAAAAGCTAGGAACGGCAGTATTTACATAAAATACAGTCATAAGATGGCATGATAGAATCTTTGGGAGGGAACTAAAATTCCAGTGGATCAGGAGGTGAAGAAGAGATGCTGGCGTTGGATAGGACACACGTTGAGAACATCGTAATGCCCGGCTGCCGGGTTCCATCCCAGCTGCAGACGATTTGTCTTCCGTTGGTTTCGAGAGCTGACCATTAAGTAAGCGGGGGCAAACTACTGAACGTAAAATTTGCCTAGAAAAACCGCAACACCCACAAAAAAGGCTGTGGTTGGTTCTGCAAAGTCCTGTAAAGGATACACAACAAACTTTTAACAGTCATTCAAAATACACCCTACATTATGAGAAGTACCCATATGTTTAATTTCCTGCAATTTTTTTTTCCCCAACTGCTTGCTTAGAAATCACAGTCAGCTCCCATGGAGGCTCAGTCTCCATCTCCTCAGCCTCGAACCTCACCTCACATGCCTCAGATGCTACCCTATCCACAGCAAGTGGTTCTGATGCCTTACCATTACAGCATGCCAGGTCCGCTGAATCCACAGAGAAAGAGAGGCAAGTACATTGAATGTGTGGTTCTAGATGTAAATAGTTCCCCCATGTGGGTTCCGGGGCCTCATTGTAGGGAAGACAAGAATAGACCCATTGCCTCTTCTGAAGCATGGCATAGGAGTCGTCTAATTAGGGGCTTCTTTCACACTGTTAAGTGCATCTGTCCGAGCGGCAAGGAACAACCAACTGCACACAAATAAGCCAGCAAAATGGAGGTACAAGCAGAACTCAGGCCCTGGTACAAAGCCAAAGTCCAAGTGGGCGAACAACCAGGACCTTCTGTTGGAGCTAATAGCTGGTGAAAAAAGAAGTAGTAAATATTTACTATAAACATTCATATGTAAATATTTTAGTCAGTATATTCTCGAAGGACAGGAGAATAGAGCGGAGAAATAAAAACAGTGTGTCAGTGATCGGAAGCACTTATATACTAGCTAACACCATTATCAAGACATGCAAATATAAGCATGACCGCCAAGAAACATAATGTAAACAGCATATTGATACGAAGACTGTGCTACCAGTGCCAAACGTGGACATTATCAGAGGCTTCTTCTTCTTCTTCTCTTCCACATTGTACCTCAGCGAAGTGTTGATGTGGAAGAGATGTAATGTTTGTTGAAGAACTCTGTCAAGAGCACTTTTAAGACTGATGTTCATTTCTGTAAGGCTGTTCTTAATGCCATCACTTCATATTTTCTATAAGTAACATCTGTAATGAGCATATAAGACTTGTTAACACTTGTTTTGGTGCTTTATTAATATCCTACTCCAAACAGGGGAAAACTACAGGTCACGGGACAGTCTAATATTTAAGGGGGTGGTAGATAGGCTGCATGTATTCGTGGGACCTAGGCTGCACTCTCCGGTGGGACGTTGTGGTTAGGGCCAGTTGTAGATGTTTTGGGGTCGTTAAAAGCATCAGAAAGCTGAAGAACCCAGACTTACCACCCTTTCAAATGTTGGACTGTCCTGTGATGTCATCTGGGGTAATATTGATAAAGAACCCTTGTTTTTCTTTTTGCAGCCACAGTTTCTCTGGGAGCTGGCGTGGTCAGTGACCTGGCAGCACATCAGGTAACTGGGCAGCCCTTGCTGGCAACACAACCTGCCGGTATGATGTACATACACACACCTGGCCAGCCGATCCCTGCAGGCTATCAGGTGAGATATATTCTGTTGATAGCTTTCTGCTGATTTCTGCTTATATCTTTTGGGGGGGGGGGGGGTGTCCAATATCTTCTTTGCACCACTGGGTGTTGCAACCCTTTTGCCTCCAAGAAGCAACAAAATCAATATTTTCTGTTGGGCCCAACTCCCCCGTAAATGCCACTCTTCTGACTTCTCTGTTGTGACCTGTTTGCAGGGTGCGTAATTAACCCTGTTAGTTGTTTTCAGGCCTCCGCAAATGTCTAGGTTAGGATGGGTTTCCCATGTTGACATCAAATGTTCCTGTAAGCCTCAGGGTCACAATATTAGTAGCCCTATACATAGGAGAGAACTAAAATCGAGTGAATCAAGAGGTGAAAAAGAGATGCTGGCGTTGGATAAGACAAACATTGAGAAAACCTGAGAACATAACTAGAATGTCTATACACTGGAACCCATAGGGACATAGAAATAAGTCAGACCCAAAAAAAACAGGGAGAAGGAAGTAGAGAGTGAAGTTAAAAAGATGGGAAGATCATATGATGAGCTGCATGCAGTAGAAAAGGATAAAATGACTTGATGTGAGTTGGTTGAGAGCCTATGCTCCACTGGGGGACAGAGGGCAGAAGTGGACAAACAACCAGAACTGTTCTGCTGGAGTTTACAGCCAGTGAATCCTAAGAAGAAGATTGCAAGGCAAAACCTGACCACTCCACCACGAAGACTCCCTTGATCTGATTTTTTGTATGTCCTAAATGTTTGTATATGTGATATATGCATCTTGCAGTGTAATTCACATGTATACCTTCTCCTCGACTTATGACCTATGCGACTTAGACCATCATCTGTTCTTACGACCACACGCAAATAAATAGTAGTAGTAAAGAAAGAAAGATTACATTGGTATTGTCAGAAACTGATGCAGTAGAGTACATATATATTTTTCACATTATGTACATATCTGGAAAGCATTTCTTCAGAAGACGGAAGAATGAATAAAGAAATTCATCAACAAAGATGCACTAAAGGTAATCAAGTTTTACGCCAAATGGCTCCAATTTTGAAAAGCAAGCATGTGAATATGAACACTGTTTAACACAGTATTCTTACCAACGCTCTGCTATCAATGTCAAACATGGGCACTGTCTTCAGAAGACAGAAGGAAAGTAGTCCCGACAGAAATGAAATGTTAATGTACTATACTAGGTATAACAAGGAAAGATCGGCTTAGAAATGATGATGTCAGGAGGAGAATCGACACAGAACCAATACTGAACTTTGTAGGTAGACAGCAAATAAAATGTAACAAAATTGGCAGCTGACAGGGCACCAGAGAGCAGTGTTATACAGATACTGTGGTAACAGACTCAGAGGTCGACCATGCAGATGATGGACCACAGAATTATCAGAGACACTGAAAAGTACCAAATAGGAAGTGAAGAGAAGGGCATGTTCTAGAGATCTCTTCCTATATTTAAGTCGGCGCCTGCTTAGGTGTTGCGGACATAATTCGTAATGCCACAGTGCTGGTTTCAATCCTAGCTGCAGGCAATTTGGCAGCAGACAATCTTGTGCTGGCTTTAACATTGGTACTGAGAGTTGACCGTTCAGAGAGCAGTGGCAAACTACTGAATGTAAATTTGCCTAGAACACCCACAGCAAATAAAAGAAAGGCTAGGGTGGGTTCTGAAACATGCTGTAATGAATACACAATTAACTTTTTTTTCTGTTCTTTTAACAGATTAAATTTGTATGTTTGATGTACAATTTTTGTAACCTGTTTAACTCTTTGAGTCCCAGAGGGTTTAGCATCACAGGCCCAAGGGGTAGTCAAGAAAGTCATAAAAACGGCGCATCTTGCGTTCATTGGGCTTCTAGGTAGGAATCTATGAACGTATGGCGCATTCCTTGGGACTCAAAGAGTTAAATGAAATTGGTGATGAAAAATATACATTTGATTTGTGGCCAGTTGAACTTTGGCTTGTTGTTTGGAACGGAATGGAACTGGTTCATAGGTCGAGGAGACCCTGTATTCTACGTTATGTCACATAATATTTTACTTATATCTAACTACTGCGTACAATACTACTGTAGTCCTTCATCATCTTTCTTGTATTACGTCACCATATTAGATGTTTCCTGGTCACCAGAGCACACATTTAATGCATGCTGTACAACAGTTTTATTCGCCCCAGATAATTAACCCACGAATGGTTGCTCCCGGCTCGTTGACTATGGCACAAGCTAGCCAAATGGCGGGACTGGATCAGGCCGGACAGAATCAGCCGCAGCCAGTTTTTAGTGAGTATGCTTTCTATCAATAAGTCAGTCGGTTTCCAACTCTAGAAAGTAAGTATCATGGGGAGGAACAGTTTGCAGTCCATTGCTTGATAGGCAGCAATGGCTCTTGTCATTCCGGGGCGATGTAGAAGCTATTTAATGTCATTGGTCCATTATCTCCTAGGGCAGTCTCTTACTTTCACTTCAGATCTGTTCGTGTATAGCACCTGCAATGGTAGAAGGGGTACAGCTAAAAAGAGACGAGGCCTGATTTCTTTTGAGTAAAATAAAACGCGCAGCAGAGTGTGAGGATTAAAAAGGCAAGAACAAAATTCATTATCTGTCTATTAGATCATCATTGTGACAGCTGCTGTCTCCATCATCATAGAAGTATTTGAATTGAATGCCTGACTTTTAAAAAAACCACCTTTCCTTTCACCTGCGATGTGTATGCCTACCCAGACATCTGCTGTCTCCATCATCATAGAAGTATTTGAATTGAATGCCTGACTTTTAAAAAAACCGCCTTTCCTTTCACCTGCGATGTGTATGCCTACCCAGACCACACCCAACGAATCTGTGAGCCATTTGTATCGGTGGTGATGATGATGTCACCTGGTCAAGTGCGCTTGGAAATGAGGGCCCTTATTTTAGTATCAGTGGCTGTTTCGCTGTGTTCACTGCAGAACCAATCCAGGATGATTACGAGGGCCCTTATTTTAGTATCAGTGGCTATTTGGCTGTGTTCATTGCAGTACCTATCCAGGGTGATTAAGAGGGCCCTTATTTTAGTATCAGTGGCTATTCGGCTGTATTCATTGCAGTACTTATCCAGGGCGATTACGAGGGCCCTTATTTTAATATCAGTGGCTATTCGGCTGTATTAATTGCAGTACCTATCCAGGGCGATTACGAGGGCCCTTATTTTAGTATCAGTGGCTACTTGGCTGTATTCACTGGATTACCTATTCAGGGCGATTCCGAGGGCTGTTTAAACATCAACCTTCAATTGTTTGGTAAAAAATAAACTGTTTTCCGTATTAACACCATTCATTGCTTGCATCGTTGAGTAGCCTTTTAGCTCACTACACACCAGCCTTCTATTGAAAATGTTCAGTCCTTCAAAAAATGTAAACGGATAAATATTGACACTGTCATTGCTTGTGCGCTAGCTTGAAATCCCTCACCCCGCTTTTTTAAAATTTACAGTACTGCAGAAGTCGGCTCTGTGGCTGAGTCGATGCGAATGCTTCGTAATGCCGGGATGCCAGGTTCGATCCCAGCTGCAGGCCACGGGCCTTACGGTTTCAACAGTGGTATCAAGAAAGCTGACCGTCCAGAAAGCAATGGCAAACTACTGGACCTAAATTTCCCTAGAAAACCCACACATTGTGGTTGGTTTTGCAACGTCCTGTAAAGGATACGCATCTTACCTGGAGTGCAGAAGGAACATCAAAGCTGAGCCTTTTGACCTCATGTTTGAAGAAAACGAATTACAGCAAACAAGATTTCACAGCTGGCGGGGCAGGCAGTGACAGTGTCCATGTTTATTTGTTTGCAGTTCATGAACCACAGAACAAATGCAATTATAGGTTAGTGAGTAGTCAGCTAAAAGGCTACTGAATGATCCAAGCAATGAACGGTGTCACTATACCAGCTAGTTTGAGTTTCAAATAGCCCTCCTCCTATTACTTCAGTGGGCTCTTGCATTCTTTTTGGTGTATATAAATACACCTGCATGTACATACGTGTATGCATGTGTGATAAAATGTATACTGCACACTTTTATGGTCCATATACGTAACATTATGCAATAATACGTGTTACATAAATTTAATTTATGTGCATAAATGGAACATATAATACTGTGAAAAATGAATGTCTGTAATGGCTGAGTGTAGATTAGTGACTCTTTAAAAATAAAATATGCTCATTTCTTCCCCTCCCCCTTCTTTCAGTGTGTAAGAGAGAGAATGTATGTATTTATGAACGTGTGCAGTTACCATCCATACGTTTATGTTGTACATTCATATTGCAAGTGCAGAACAATTTTTAGGTCATACATATTTTCCGTGGCAACTAATAGAAAGAGTCATGGAGTCTTTCTCAGTAATTGGAGAAAAATTTAAGCATTTGAACTGAAATGTAACAAAAAAAAACTGTCTTAGTATACCATGGACCAAGCAGAATAAACATGCCAACGGCCTACATACTCTGAGCGTAAAGGAGAATTGGCTCATAAACAGCATTCTGTCCTGATATCTGTGGCTCTATTAAACATTGTGGCGACATGGAGAGAACAGGGATGTAGGGTTTAGTTTCTGGAAAAAGAGGTAGACCTCAATAAAGGTGGATACTAGACTGAAGATGTTGTGGATGTAAAAGCACATAGGGCTGAAGAATTGGCTAGAGAAGGAGAGACTTTAAGGTGTGCCGTGATGAGAGTGGCGTGTCGGTGAAGGCCCGCTCACTGGTGATGATTTATATTGATTTAAAAAAAAGGATTTTCAACTTGCTTTATAAATAAAATGAAATTGCTTTGTGAAAGATGAGTGGTTGGAGGGGCTGAATGGGAAAGATGAGTGGTTGGAGGGGCTGAATGGGAGAGATGAGTGGTTGGAGGGGCTGAATGGGAAAGATGAGTGGTTTGAGGGGCTGAATGGGAAAGATGAGTGGTTGTAGGGGCTGAATGGGAAAGATGAGTGGTTGGAGGGGCTGAATGGGAAAGATGAGTTCTTCAAAGGGCTGAATATGAAAGATGAGTGCTTGGAGGGGCTGAATGTGAAAGATGAGTGCTTGGATGGGCTGAAGGTAAGACAAGCCTCCTTTTCCTGTTTGGTGACCATTTGAAAATAAGATCTGCCTGCCAGAGTAATGGCCAAGCTGTTTGCCTTGCATTCTAGGGATTGTGAGTCTGTGTGATGCCTTGTTCAATTTGTGAGCCTAATTTTTAATGGAGTTCCTAAGGGTTGCCGGCATAGCTGTGGAGTTCCTGCTTTATATGATGCTCTCGGCAGGCAGTTAGTCATTCTGCAGAGGGTGTCCCAGCCATATGGGGTAACCTGCTGCAAAGAAGTCGATCCTCTTGGCTTTTATCTTTGACCTCTTGAAAGTATCTTTATGTTTGTCCATTGGTTTACTCTCTCTTTCTGCATGCCCTTTGACCTGTTTTCTTTCTTTCTGACAACAGTGACGACAGCCCATCAGCCCTTAGCTGCACCCCTGCCAGCGCACATGCACCCACAGCCTGCGCACGGCCAGCCCATGCCACACCCATCGTCCGGCCAGCAGGTGCAGACACATGTGCCCAACCCAGCACCTTCGCCGGTCCAGCAGCACAACTCCCAGCCACTCCCTCATCTCATGTCGCAAGGCTCCTCCCAGCCAGGCACACCCCAGCCGGCTCACTATCCCCAGATGACAATCAGCTACACACACGGAATCCCAGCCGTACCCAGGACTTCGATCTCGGGACAGCAGAACATGACAGCCGGACATCCGTCCATGAATTTCATGTCGGCGTCGCCCCAGTTCACATTTAACGGTGGTACTGCCTCGTATACGTTTTCCCCTGGCCCCCAGCCCCAGGCTCCTCAGACTTCCCCGCACGGACCTGGACCCCAGACTCACCAGTATGTGGTCATGCCGCAGCCGAATCCTCAGGGTCATCAGCAGTTACAGCAGCATCATCCTGGCCAGCAGTACACAGCCGTAGGCATTTCCTACCAACCTCAGCATCTTATGCAAGGTAAGGGCAATGGAATCAGAGGTCTTTTAATGTGCCAATTATACATATTCTTCCTCTTTTTTCTTCTTATTCTGATTTTCTTGTTCAATTACTTTTTTTTTTTTTTTTTTTGCTGCATCTTTTTTTTCGTTTAAGTAACTTTTACTTTTTTCCTTATACTTCTTTCTGCTCCTGTTTGTTTTTTTTTCTTTTTTTTCTTCTTCTTCCTCGGTTTCTTCTTCCTCTTCTTCTTCTTCTTCTTTTGCTGCAGCTGCTGCTATATTTGTCTCTGAAATTGCAGTTGGTGTGTTGTGATAAGGTTTACATTAGGCTGTGGTATAACCCCTTTGAATGAATGAATCAAGAATTTACATCCTGTAGCATAGCTCTCTTCTTTGTTGTGTATGTTGTTGTCACACCCAGGTTCGTCTTTAGGTTTGCTACAGGAGTTGATAGGAAGATTATAGACGAGGAGAAAGATGGTTGTGTCGATAGTGGTGATGATGATGATGATGTCTTGCTAGCTGCATGCTTCTCACGTAACTCAGATGCTTGTATAATAAAATTGCTGGAAACAACTGTTCTCTGTCTATATTGTCTTTATTGTCGTACTTCAGCAATGACACAATTAATTAACATCAATGATACTCTGAAAGGCGCTGTATTCTCCCTGTGGCTAAATACTCTTAATGTTGCGTTGTGTTCTTCATCTCTAGTTACTTTGTTAACCGGTTCTAGTATCTCTAACTGCCACCTGGCTTCTAGTGCTGTCTGGTTCTAACGGATTGATCGTTGACTCTAACATCTCTATAGTGTTCCTAATGTGTCTCTTTTAACTATGGATCCAGGTATCTTTTATGTCGTCTCTGTAGTTCGTTGTCTCATTTCATGTCTGCTCTCTAGTGACTGTCTTCGAGGCTCAATGTGACTGGCTCCTCTCCTTCTAGTGTTGAGCTGGCATGTAAACTGAAGGCATTCTTGGAGGATCCATATGACTGGGCCCTCCTCTCTTGAGTCTCGTGGACTGAAGAATTGCTCTGAGGTGCTTTGTTACTTGTAATTTATACGTGGATGCTGGAATGCTAGGTATTTGTTTTCTTCTCGCTTTTTCTGCTTCTAGAATATTCTAGTACATCTCAACTTGTTTACTAGGTAGGTTCTCAAGTGGAATTTTCTAAAAATATCTCAATTGCATCGAATTTCATCATCTATTCTACGCAGATATGTTATTTAAATTGACAGCTGCCGTCATAGGGACTCCTACAAAACAAGTGCTACTAGGTTCTCTCTGAAA